AGTGCGAGGGCTGGATAAAGGCAAGCAAAGGGCCACATTTGGCCCCGGGGCCACAGTTGAAAACACTGCTTTACCACATTTACTAAGCTCTGGAGCACATGCACGTGCAGTGCAAAGTAGATTTGTCTTTAGCCAATCAACCCCTATGTATGTTGTAGATATCGGAATGGTTGAACAGTTTGGCAAAACTGGGCAGGATTGACACTATTCAGTCCACAGCAAGACTAATTAGCTGAGGGCATTCCTGGCACATCAGCAGGTATTTTTCAGTAGGTGCAGAGTCTATAAAGAGACAAAACAAGTGGAAATGTTTATGGATTGCAGAGAAGTATTGCATGGTTTTTATTTTTGCCTCAATATTCAGTTTAAGGATTACTTGGGGACTGCAATCAAGAAAAAAAAAGCGCTAAGACTTTCTGAAGGCTCATGATGACAGAAAATGTCATTTGGCTTAATGAACAATCAACTAATTTTAAAAGGATATTGGATTTTGTAAACGTGGATATAAATGGATGCTGAGAGCGTGAACCATTCACAAACTTCTCAAATCACCAGGCAGCTCTCAGTAAAAGCTCTGCATTGGTTCTCAGCTCCTCCCACCTCCCTGCTGCTTCTGGATTCTCTGGTTCATTTCATATTAAAAGACAATAGACAATTCACAAAGTTAACATACGAGGACAAGGATCCTTGATTTTAAAGAATTATACATTTTTAACTAGTTACTTTAGTCCAGCTTGGACCCGTGTAACCTTGTATGAACCATACCTGGCCAATGTCCCTGAAAGCTGGAAATCACTGAAGCAGACACCACCACTGCAGGGATCTCTACTTGCATTATGATGCTGTGCTGAGCAGCCAGCCTGATGCAATGTGAAGACAGGAGGTCAGCCGCTCCACACGGCACTATTCAGAGAATGCTTTGACCGCCACTCGATCTCATATTATCAAATTACATAGTGACAACAGAGATGTGATCGAGAACTGATGATTGAACCTTACAACTATCAAGCAAAATCGTCTTCCTTGCATGTAGGCATATTGATCAAATGGTTTATCCACTATAGATCAATTATTCCTAATAGGAGAGGGTGATGGGAAAATAAATCAATCATTTATCGAAGTGTATATGGGCCACCATGAAGTAAAGATCCTTGTCTTTGTGTTAAAGCTGTATGAATGGAGCCTGTAAAGGGAGAAATTAGCCTTTTTTGGCTTCATGAATAGATACTTCATCCTCTTTTAGCACTTTGTTTTAAAACGTTGTGAATTGAACCTATAGTCACCAAAGATAAGGATCTTAATTTGGGCAATGTGGCTGTACACTTCAAATCTTATTGGATTTAGCGAAAAATAACCCACTTTTTAAAAATAAAGATCCTTATATCCTAGTATTGTGAATTGATACAATACAGGTTCAATTTACAAAGCTAACACATAAAAAGGTAAGGATCTTTATTTATTTTTTTTAGTCCAATAGGATGTGAACATTACAGTTCCATGGCTCAAATAAGGACCCTGGATGCTTGTGTTAAAGTGATAGGGGTCAACAAAACCAAAGAACTACCCTGCAAAGAAACAACTTTAAAAATACCAGTTCATCTGCCCATCTTGTACAGCATGAAGATTTACCACAAGGGACCACCGATAGATATGCATAATTGGTTTCCTCCAAAGATTTGTTCTTTGGTGATTTTGCTGACCCCCTGACAGTCATTTTTCTTTGCGTGAATGGTCTTCTGCAGGCTCCAATCTGCAGCTTTCTAGCTTCCCCAAACAGGCAGCCACTAGATCATTCTGCTGGTCTTCTATGGGACATCCCTGACACTCAGGTAAAGGGAACTAGAGGATGATGAGACCAGAAAGTGCTATACAAGGGAGAGCAGCTGTCGATGTAGACGTCATAAGTGAATGTATAAAATATCATGTCATTTGCACTCTTTATTTTTCCCTGTGAGATGCAGCAGTACTCACATTGCTGCTGACAATCTACAGATCAAGTAAAGTGTCAAAATATAGCTGGGGAGGGACTCAACACTGCATAGGTTTGAGCAGTGTCCATGTGGTAGGTTATCCAGGATCCTCAGGAAGGAAGGCCTGCCTTATATAATGTGCTGTATTTAAGAAACCTCCATGGAATATTTTTTTTTTGTCCACAATGGTGCACCCAGAAAACAAAGTGGCCTGTGGCTAGCATTCTATAGAATTTTCTGTTTTATTTTCAACAGTCCAAGTCACACAAAATGTAATCAAATGCTGTTTCCCAATCTGCCACTTCTCTGTTCTACAGCTGGATGAGTGTTTGTGCAGCTACCATTAGTCAGATCTGACCTTGCAGTGCTGCAATTCTGTTCTTAAAGCTGAGTTCTGGGCACAAATACTTCTATTTAAAAAACAAAGTCCAGGTTTCTGTTACTATAGTTTGTCTGGGGCAGCTTAGCCCAAACAGACTATTTCCATTACCAAGTTATTCAGAATACCCACTCCTTTCAAACAGACATTTAATCACAGCTTGCATCAGGGCTTAGGGCTTTTGAGAGGAGTACTGAGGCAAGGTGCTTTCATGTTTTCAGAAACTGTGTACAGAAAGTAGCCTTTGTCCCCTTTCACAAGCTATGATCTGCCTGAATTGCACAGACACACTGGGGTTTATTTACTAAAGCTGGAGAGTGCAAAATCAGACTCCCTTCTGCATAGAAACCAATCAGCTTCCAGGTTTCATTGCCAAAGCTTCATTGAACAAGCTGAGGTTAGAAGCTAATTGGTTTCTATGCAGAAGGGAGTCTGATTTTGGACTCTCCAGCTTTAGTAAATAAACCCCACTACGTCTTCTGGACTATGTCTCATAGGCTAGGCCTTTTGGCCAAGAGTTGGGGCAATTTTTATTACCAGGCCGCAAGGTCTAGCCATTGCAATGCACTGGCACTTATTTAGCATATTTTTATTTTCTCTCAACATGTGTCACCTGCACTTCTGTCTGCAGTCCTTTATTCACTCAGGATGGAGGGTGTGGGTCCTTGGGCATTCCCCTGAAGTCTAGTGGTCATCAGGTTGCTGCCTCTCCTGCCTTCAGGGGGCCTCTCTTTAGGAGAGCCCCTTGCCTAGTACTCAGTGATTGGCTTCAGCTGACCATGAGGAGAGGGATCTGCTAGGGCTTTTGGCTAGGTGGACCTGAATGTACTTTACCGCCGTCAGGAGCCTTGTGCCCCAGAGGGTCAGGGAGGGGTCCTACTTCTTTGGGATGTAGACCAGATACACACCCTAAATGCAATTTTTGCATGTGTTCATGTGAACTGCCTTGGTTTACTTACTGGCGTTTCATTTTTGCACACCCAATTTTAAGAAAAAATGTCATAACCATGCTGATTCGGGGAGGAAAGGATTTACCAAAGGTGGCAAAATATAAGCAGATTAAACTTCAGTGTTAAAGCAAACTTGCACAAAGCAAAATGCTTGTTTAACTTCCTATATATCCAGCATATTCTTTCCTTTGGTCCACTGCTGCTCTATTCATAATCCAGTACTCTCAGGTATGGAGGAAGAAGCGACTAATTCCATGTGACAAATGCCTTCATGTGCCCTCAGCCAGTCAGCAATGCCACTTGAGTAGCCCACAACCCATGTAAGCGACAAAGCAACTCGTAGCTTTCGCAGGGCTTTCCTTCTCTCCTGAGAGCTGAAGTGAACAGAGTGGAAGCAAAAGGAAGGCCAGTGTATACTGCTGGGAAGGTCTGCATTAAAAAGTGAACCTGTTTGGCTCTGCATTCCAAAATAAAAAAAAAATTAATATATTGCAGCTCACAGGCCCTTAAGTGGAAGCTGCATTTGTTTTTCAGGCTTCTTTTCTTCATAATTTTCACCTGGCGATCCTGGGCTGACACTTCCTGCCCCTCCGTGACTACATTTACTCACGCCACTGTAACTAATGTGAGAGACATGGCGGCCATCCAGGCCAAACGTCATACAGATCTGACTTTGTCCATCACTATTTATGGGAACAGAAAGTTTAGTATTTAAACAGAAGAAACACAGTATATTGTTTTATGCTTCCAGTTCAACTTACAGGACGGGACATGGAAAATGCATTTCCTACAAGATCAGGAGGAATTTCTGCACTTGCCAAAAATGCACTCAGCCTGGAAAAAACAAAAGCAATGCAGTTGCCATATCGATGGACAGTTATGCTGCAGTATAATAAATTGATTTTCTTGGATTTAGTTATCCTTAAAGTCTCTGACGAATGGGACATGCAGGTAAATACCATTCAAATATTCAGTTTCCTACGTTCAATCTCACTGACTGAACCTTTTTAATATCCACTTCTAAACGGGATATAAATCAAGTGATACAATCATTCCATAGTTGATTTTAAAATTTCACCTCACTGTCAGAGCTAAAACTTACACACTAAAACAGGAAAAAAAAAATAAAAAAACAGGACATGAAAATTTCAACATTAAACTTTCAGACTTTATCACTGGATAGCTGATGTACAAAACTGGGCCAATCTTTTTGGAACCTGTATGCTGGAATTGAACAGACTGTATACAGCAGATGACAGGCCCACATCTCATCACAGATCCAGTACAGAGAACATAGCTCTTTCCCTGACAGCCTTTAAAGAGGAGCTTGAGGAAATTCATTGGATTAAAGCAGATGTTGGAAATGAAGACGCCCGGCTGATTCAAGCACCAGAGGCTGCAGTGAACATAGTACAGGGTCTCTTTTTAGTTTGCTGTCATGGAAAATACACAACCACTCATCTCATGTTCTAAAAAAAAAAAAGAAAAAAAAAAAAAAAAGAAAAAGAAAAAAAATATATATATATAATAATAAACCCATGAGCCAACTGATATATCACTTTGCACAACTGTAGCACAAATAGAAATGACCCGAGCGTGGTGCTGAGCGAGTCTGTCTCCTCCTAGCAGTTCATTTGCTCTTTCCCGACTATTGCTAGTTTGGTCTCAGATTCTTCTTCTTGATGCCTCTAGTGAATCTCATCATTCCTGGGCTATGCTTCTCAGTACATACTTGACTGTGTAGGCGAAGGCTGCAAATCCCACTATGACAAAGACATTGGCCAGGGCGCCCCCTAAAAGTCCATGGTTACGATTTGGCTGTTGTAGACCAGGGTGATTTGCTGCTGCCAAGGGGGCATGGCCGTTCAAGAGTGGAGCTCCGTTCTGACCAAAGTGGGCTTCTGTGTCTGGCACTACATCTGGGAGCGGAAGGGACTGTGGCCGGTTGGTTAGTTCTTCTTGTGCCCGCTGCTTCTTCTTTATTTCCTAACAAAGCACGAAAAACTGTCACACAGGCAAAACAAAATGGAGAAATAACCACACAATGCAAGAAAAGCTGTTATGGCCAGTACCCAGAGCATTTATTTTTTAAACCAAAGAATTGGCATAGTTTTTTTTTTTTTTGGTGCACAACTGTTGGTTTTTTGATGTCGGGGCTCAAGAAACAGATGAATATGCTGTATAGGTTAGTTTAGTGTTAAAGATTAGATAGGTTAATATTAGGGTCAAGAGCTTAAGGTTAAATGTTATATTTAAAGTTACTGCAAATGCAAGTTAGTCTGTGTTCATAGATAAAAAGGTTTTGTATATGGTAATAATTTTTTTTGAAGTCACTATGTTGCATTGCACAAAAAAGTATCAGTTTTAGGTATTGGAGCATTTGCAAGAGTACAAGTACTGCACAAATGTTTAGTATTGGCACCGATTCCAGTATCAGTACCATGCAATCCTAGAAAAGCACACAGGAAAAACACGGATGGCAGCTCTAATTCCTCCAACTGTATCGAAAACAGTATTCCTGAAGTTCCACTTTAAGTGTTAGTGGGATTGAGGCATTAAAAGGATCTCTAAACTCAAGAACAAACACTAAATAAATTGCACATTACAAGTCCTTATCCAGTTATGATCATTGGGCTTACTACACATACCCAAAAAAAAAAAAATAATAAGTACACAGGGTGTATATAAACGTATTACTTATTGCCCTGAAAACCCTCACATTTGCCAGCAATTCCACACTGTTATAATAGGGAGTTGCTCTGTAGCCGAGAAGCAGCTACTGTCAAAAACCAAAAATAAACAGCCTGACACTGTTAAGACATGAGATACAGCAATACAAAGATCTGAAGTAACATTGTTCTGTTAGTATTTACCCTGTTTCATTCATCTGCAGTACAGGCTTCAATCTGAATATGAATATTTATTTATTTATTTTTTTATTTAAAAAAAAGCTTGTTTCTATTTACCTTCTTATTAACCCTGAGTTTATCCTAATCATCCCTATTTAACTCTTTCCTCTCCTGCAAGTTTAAGTAGGAAAGGCTAACAAGTATGGTTTAAAATGCTGCCCTTTATTAGGTCTTCGATTTCCAGCAGATACCAGGACGCTGGGTACAAATTATTGACCATGTGGTACAAAGTTCCAGCTCTCTTGTATAAAATGTCCTTCCCAGTTACCTCTACGTGTTAGAGATGTAATCAGGTTGAGTGGCATACTACTTCACATTTTCTGGGAATGTCTGTTGTTACAACCCTACTGGGAAGGCCCAATAAAACTGACAGCCAGTCTCACGGGCATCTCTTTGAGAGACAACCCCACAGCTTTTCTTTTACATTTCTATTTGCTTCCCAAAACACAACACTACCTCCTAATCATTCTGGTAAATGCAGCAAGAGCATCAAGAGCATGTATACCTCTGAAATGAAAAAGTCAACAGACCCTTTCACCGCTGACCAGCAAATCTATGTGGTTAATGAAAATAAACACATGGAAGCCCTTCCAGCTTCACTAATTTTTTTAAAAAGCAATTCCATAACACCTGGTTTTATTAAAATGGCTTTTCATTTTCTCAGTGCAGCTCTCATCTCTTCAATGAGTTCAGACTGCTGCTCTTGTCCTTTTTCAAGGCCTCTGCAGAAAGAAGACTTCCACCTTGCTGCCCAAGCCCCTGAACCCCCCAGTGGAGTGGGGGCGGGGTTACCCCTTCCTTTCCACTTCGCTCTTCTGCTCCCTTTTTATAGTCTATAGCAGTGGTCTTCTGTGTCCGTGTGGCCAAAAGTGGCCCTTTGCTTGCCTTTATCTGGCCATTGAGGCATTCCTGCCATTGACACAAACAATGGGGCATAATTCCTGCCAATGACAACAATGGGGCATTTTACTTTCCACTGACAGCAACAATGGGGAAAAATTCCTTCCACTGACACCAATGCTCCCACTGGTACCAACTATTTCTCCCCCTAATACCAAAGATCAAGCATTGTTTAGTCCCACTGAGCACAGCTGCCCGCCCCCCACCTAATGTCTGAAGGACGGTAAACTGGTCCTTTCTTTGGAAAGTTTGGAGACCCCTGGTCTACAGGATACCCCTTCCCGAGAGTTATAGTAATTGCAAAAACAAAAGGTGGTCCCCATGTAACACAAATTTGAAATGCCTACAATTCAAGCAGATACCAGGATAACAAAGATAACTACTACATACATACTGTATATTTAGAGGTTTTAAATAGAGCTCCTTTGCTAAAGCCTATAAAGGCTGTTTAGACAAGAATAGTTCTTTAAGGCTCACAGATCAAATCTGAAACCATCCTAACAGCCAAGCCAGATGTTTACCATCTACTTACAAGGAGTCTTAGGATGTTTGATGTGAGTATGATAAAGTATCAGGTCACTGATCCAACATGTTACTTACCTCAACTACTTCTGGAAACAGCTCACAAAAAAACTTTATCCTTTAAGTTAAACGCTAAACTTTGTGCTGCAAGTTGTCGTTTCTGTGAAGACAAAGATAAAAAATTTATCTTGCAAATCTAAGCATTTTCTGTGCCCAATTTTATCTATTGTTAAAAATTCATTCAAGATGGTTCATACAAAGATTTGTAAAGTAGTTCCCAAAAGAGTAGTCCATTACCAAAAAAGAGTAGTGGATGCATGGAATAGACTTCCAAAAGAGGTAGTGAGTCTCTCAACAGTAAGTGGATTCAATCAAGCTTGGGACAAACATAGGTCTAAAAATAATTAAAAAAAAAAAAAAAAAAAAGAAGGACGACACACACTTTATTTACATAGAAAACTAATGGCAGAAAAAAAAACCAAAGTGGTCCAGGGAGTCTGCCCATTTGTTCAGTTTTTTTTTTTTTTTTTTTTAAATACATGTGAGCCAATCATACAAACAGGAAATTACATTTCTAGGGATGTTCTGTATTCAAAGAGAGCATGTAATGCCTCCAGGTTGCCATAATGCTTTAAAATTTACAGAAAATTAGAGGCTGCAGACTGAAAAAGGAAAAGTCATTTTTAATAACAGTAAAAATACAACATGGCTTGTGTAGCAATTCATAAAGTAGGTCAGCTTGGAGGAGAACCTTCTTCCCTCAGCCAGAACACCGAAGATGGGTTGTGTATGGGTCTTCCAGCATTACAATGACCCAAAAAACATACACGGGCAAGGCAACAAAGGAGTGGCTCAAAGGGAAGCACATTAAAAAGTCATGGAGTAGCCTAGCCAGTCTCCAGACCTTAATCCTATAGAAAATTTATGGAGGGAGTTGAAGCTCGAGTTGCCAAGCGACAGCCAAGAAACCTTAAGGATTTGGAGAAGATCTGTAAAATAGAGTGGGTCCCTCCTGAGATATATGCAAACCTGGTAACCAACTACAAGAAACGTCTTACCTCTGTGCTTGCCATCAAGGGATTCTGCACCAAAGTACTAAGTCATGTTTTGCTAGGGGATCAATGCTTATTTTACTCACTGAACTGCAACTCAACTTACGACATTTTCTATCGTCTGTTTTGTCTGGATTTTTGGTTGATATTCTGACTCTTATTTAAAATACACTTATGATAAAAATGATAGACTCTTCATTTCTTTGAAGCGTGCAAGTTTACAAAGGCTGCAGGGGATCAAATTATTTTCCCCACTGTATATCAGGGACTTGCGTATAAAAAAAAAATCAGTACTAAAGCTGGCTCTCTGTTACCACCTGATTGTACAATTTCCTTTCCCAACAACTGTTTAGAGATAGGGCCTTGCATAGTACAAAACTAAAATTAAATATCCCCACAGCCAAGCTTTCAAACTCCTTCTGTACTTTACTATAAACACAAGAATACAGCTATTTGTTACAGGGAAAAAACAGTTCTCAATACTGACCTATTGATAGGACTGTAAATGGGCTCTTGAAACCACCTTAAAAGCACAGTCTGATTAGAAGCCAAAAGCAACCCTCCTACCAGTTGCTTTCTGAGGATTCGCCAAGCCCATGGAGCAGCATTCATAATGTGTAAAAGCACCATGGACATTATTTCAGCAGAACATAGCTATACAGTTAGTATTGTCGGAAAAAAAAAAAAAAAAAAAAAAAAAGGACTCATGTCAGTCAAGTTCAAACTTAGAGTTTGGGTCTTTAGGAGGGCAAAAGAACCCCCTACACACAGCAAATGCTGCCAAATTTTGCCATACAGAAGCAGAAACAAAAATTGCTTTCTAATCCCTTCTAGGGACAGTCAGATTTCCATTATCCATATATTCTTAGATTATTCCATATTAATGATAACTCTGGATACTATTATACGTACAATATTTTATTTCAAACTTCAATATTGATTTTGCCATTACAACCACATGTGGCAAACCATCTTACAAGTTAAAGCTAAACTACAGGCCAGAATAAAATACACACCCACACAAAAAAATGAAATAAAAAAATCAGCAATTCATGCATTAATACATCAATAAAACATTTTGTTCCACATGCAAGCAGTAAAAGCATGTGATTTAGTATCAGCATTGTACAGCCCCTGTAAAGCAGAGCTCAAAGAGAGAGAGAGAAGCAGCACAAGGAGTCGATCAGCTATGCTGCAGTGCAAGAAAATGCTATTCAGAACAGAAAGCATGTTGACAAAGAGAGGAGCTCTTCCGTGTGCAGTTTCTCCTTTCACTGTCTAGTCACAGGCTGGGGGAGGGACAAACACCTGTAAGTTTCACTTCGCTGCAGCAGTGAAAAATAAGGTCTCCTTACCTGCCAAGCAGGAATTTAGTCATCAAGAAGTCTGACAACCAGCAGAAACAACCTGCTCTTTAGGATGACTTTGCAGTCCTACGAAGCAAGCCTTTTCAGGTAGTAGTGGGTCTTTACCCTGCCTAGCTTCTACAAGTGTCACTGCAAGCAACTGGTGGAATGACCGTCATGCTTCAAGGGGTGTTCCAGAAAAGCAAATTACACTTCTCCAACCTAAGAACTACAATTCCGTTTCTTGGAGTAGAGATTCTCTTTATTTTAACTCTGTAATCACACACACTTACAGTAAAGTCTGAGGTCTCTATGCTGCCCAGGGTGGGTCCTTTCTCCACCATGAAGCTGAGTAGACCTGTGAGGATTGTTGATACTGACCACGCTGGATTCCATGTGTCTGGGTGGAAGTCTGTGATCGAAAGGCAGAGTCTGCAGAAGGCAAGAGAAAAAAAAAAAAAAAAAAAAAACATCAGGATGCCGACATGACAATTAAATGTTAATGCTAAAACTATTGTGATTTTTGCACTCTAAAACAGGGAAAACATTGTATTTATTTTGGTTTGGCCTGGAACAGAAATGCGAACTAGATTTGACTATTGAATAATGATACAACTGAGCAATTTCCTCAGATCCTAATGCTTTCCAGAGCACCACTAACTTTTTTTTTTTTTAATTTAATAACCATACAGTAACATGTGGAAAAGGTACAATCCAATTAAAAAAAAAAAAATTGTGATGCTGTGTAAAATCTACATAAAAATATAAATAGAAAACATCAAATATCTAAAACTAAGATACTGTACCATTTTAAAAAAAAAAAAGAATTTGGAAATTGGCAGAAACATCTCAAAAAAGTTGGAACAGGGTAACAAAAAGCTGGTAAAGCAAGTGGTACTGACAAGGAAACGCTGAGTAAAAAAGAGAGTCTTAGAGACTCAGAGCTCCTTGGACGTAAAGGTGGGCATAGGTTTACCAATCAGTTTGACAATTCTTAGATGCAGTTTTTCACAAACAATTTCAGAATAAAGCTTTTCAACGTAAAACTGCAAAGACTTAAAATATATTATCTACAGTACATAATATCAAAAGATTCAGAGAAATGTCTGTGCACAAGGCAAAAGGCCTTGTGGGTCCTCAGATGACACTGCAATAAAAGCAGGCATGATTCTGTGATGAACATCACTGCTTGGTGCTCAGGAATACTTCCAAAAATCACTGCCACCAAACCCAGTTTGCTGTCCCATCCAAAAATGCAAGATAAAGCATTGTCATACAAAGAAGAAGCCATATCTGAACATGATCCAAAAATGCTGCCATCTTCTCTGGACCAAAGCTTATTTAAAATGGTCTGCTGCAAAGTAGAAAACTGTATCAGGACAAACTAAAATATGAAATTTTTTGGCAACAATTGGCATTGTACCCTCCAGACTAAAGAGAAAAAGGGACCTTCCGGCTTGTTATGAGCACTCAGTTCAAAAGTCTGCATCTCTGATGGTATGGGGGTGCATTAGTGGGTATGAAATGGGCAGCTTGCACATCTGAAGAAACACCATCAATGCTGAAAGATATCTAGGTTTTAGAGCAGCATACTCTCCATCCACACATCTTTTTCAGGGAAGGCCTTGCATAATTCAGAAGCCCAATGCTAAACAGCGTACTGCATCTATGACAACAGCATGGCTTTGTAGTAGAGGAGTCCAGGTGCTTAACTGGCCTGCCTGTGTCCAGACCTTTCACTAACTGAAAATATTTGGTACATCTTGAAATGAAAAATACAACAAAGAGGACCCAAAACTGCTGAGCAGTCCTATATCAGGCAAGAATGGGACAACATATCTCCAAAACTCCAGCAACTGGTCTCCTCAGTACCCACACATTTACAGAGTGTTGTTAATAGAAGAGGGGATGCTACATTGTGATAAATATGACCCTGTTCCAACCTTTGTGTTGCAGCCAATTTCAAAATGTCCTTAATTTTTTCTTAAAATGGAACATTTTCTGAGTTTAAATATTTAGACATTTATTTTCTATTGTGAATAAAATAATGAGTTTGAGATTTGCAAATCATTGCACTCTGCTTTTATGTAGCTCAGCAATTTTCAACGGGGTGCCACGGCACCATGACATAAAACTGCCTCCAACCTGTAACAGTCTGATCAGGGAGCGATCCAGTGTTAACAGAAGAAGGACAGAAAGGCGCTTCTAAGTGCAGGATGCCAGTAGTTTATTAGAAGTAGTATGTGATAAGGAGAAAGTGGGAACTGTCTGCAGCGAATCCATCACCCCTTGCAGGGTGAGCTAGTGAATACCAGAGGATTCATAAAAGTCTACACCTCTACTACTCTTGAAGGCTGCTTGGTGGCTCTACAATACCAAAAATGCATTTATTTAAAATTGACCTTAATGTCACAGGCTCCTGTTTGGCGACCAGTGTGGAATATAAAGGCATTCCTAGTGCTGATATTAAGAATGTGTCATAGTCCTACCAATCACGCCAACCACAGTTGAGTGCACCGATCACCCAGTCATACACGTATACCTGCCTCCCATGGCCAGGCAAGCCATGTGACTCTTTAATTCAATATTATGTGACATATCCCTATCCATTCAGACATTTGAACTGCAATAGTAGAATGCTCTCAGTTGGGCACACGGTCTCCTGACATCAAGCAGCAGGGGATTTTAGAACACAACATTCTCCTCGACAAGCAGGCAGCCTGTATTAGTATGTCATTTATTATCATATCTTTTCTACAGCGTAATGCTTAGTAGAGACATTGGTTCTTCATAAATGGTTATATTTAGGGTTTTCCACAATCCTTTAAATTGCACTGTAAAAAACACTAAGTTTTGAATAGAGAACAGCAGGGATAAAACATTTGCCAGTTTAGTTTTTGCTGTGTCCCATTTGTGAGGTTTGACTTCACTTCCTGTATCAGAGATGCAACAGGGAGTGAGAGAAAAGCTTTATAAACTGAGTAATCTCCCTCCTAAACAGCTGGCATATGCAAGACTTTCCCCTCACCTCTTTTTCTGGCAACAGCTGTAATTTGTTTTGATTCTCACTTTCTGTCCCAGTGACAGAGGTCAATGGACAATCAGAAAGGAGAATCTGTACAGTGGAGTCACAGATAGAAATTAAAATCTGATAGGTTTGCAATTTCAATCCTTCTCTACTCCAAAAAAAATTAAAAAATTAAAAAAAAAAAAAAAAAGGAGCTTTGGCAATACATACATTTTAATATCCTATTTTATATTGAGCTCTTCTATGACCGAGTTTATCTGAACTCATCCCCTAATGATATGATGTTGAAAAAGGATTCCTACCGTGTGTTACATTTAAACCGTCCATTAGGAGTGATCATATAAATACTAGGTGGTTTGAAGGGGAATTCTCTTGGAAATATTAGCTTCCCATGATAGTAACCACCTGTGAAAGAGAGAATATGTACTATAAATAGAAAATAACATCTCGGCTGCGCAATGGAAGAAACGCTCTGAAAAAGACAAAGAGATCAAAAATGACATTAAAGAGCACTTATCCTAGACCAAATCAGAGAACAAAAATTAATCGCTTCCACATCTGCCCTGACCAAGAATTCTTTCTGCAACTGACAGTTAATTCATTGTATTCCAGATTTATTTAGACGCATAGTCCACCTTTAGGAAAAATGTAACAAATGAACCATTATTTTTTTTTTTTCGCATTTAGACCTGCAGAGAATTGCTACTACAATCAGTGTGATTTGAGTACAATGCACAGGCTCTTGCATTGTTCACCCACAGCTCTGTACAGCAAATTGCCATTACCACCTTGCTGCTGGAATTGTCTGCTGAGCCCTTGTGCTGCGGTTGTAGATAGTATTGTAGTATTTTCATTGGCAATCCCTGTGTATGGATGTCATAGCTGTGTGGGAAGAATGAAGAAACAAAAGCACGGAAATTCTGGTAGGGATGAATGGCATTGTGATTCTGGGTATGGTATATGCTACCAAGCTTCATATTACACTTTTATTATGAGTATAATATGAAATATTGTGATATGACTAATGTAAATGTACAATATATATGTAAAGTGCTGCGTAAATTGACGGCACTATACAAGCAATAACAATAATAAATAATATGGTCCTAAAGGTTGACTTTAATTCAGATCCTGCTCCAACAGTAATTCAAGGAAAGTTGTTATAAGAGAATATGACTTGCTGTCGCTATGCCATCAGTACGCTAAGACAATGCACCAAAACAGGAGATAAAGTCTGACTTTTCATTTGAATTTGCTGCATGCTTGTGTTCTAGATCTCTGAATAAAAAGTATTCCAGACAAAATACAGCCAGACAACTAGAATTTTCAAAAGGAGGCCAGAAATTACCAATTTCCCCCTCATGAAAGATGTGCTTTGTCTTCCTCTCCTGCAAACCCCTAATCTGTATAAGGCACATATAGAAGAGTCAGTATTTTTCATTGAACCAGCAGCTTGAAAAAAAAAAAAAAAAAGAAAAAAAAAAAACTAACTCAATTCCCCAAACCACACACTATGTCGATGGGGAAAGTTCTCCCCACTGAGCTATTGTATTCTGACAGTGGATGCCTTCCCCACTGTCAGAATACATGGATCAACAGGGAGGATTTCCCTGAAGCGCTGATTGAGCAGGGAGAATCCAACAGGGTAATTGCACAGAAATCAATTGGTAAATCGACGCCTAACATAGCTAGGATAAGGTTAAGATACCCACCTGCAGTTGTTGCTGTTTTTTTCCCCTATTTTTATGGGGTTTTTTTACTTTGTAAGATGTCAATTGTTACTGCATTGGTTATCCCCAGCAATGGGCTCTCATATGTGTGATCTGACTGTTCTTTTATATGAGATGTATGACACTACATGTATTCCTCCGAATGTTTGGATTTAAAAAAAAAAAAAAAAAAAAAAAAAAAAAAAAAAAACACCACAACATCTATAAGCCTCCCTGCCCCTAAATGGATCAAAGCTTGGATGGTTCCTGCTGAACAAGCCACATTTTAATATATATATGGCCAACTTTAAACACGCCAACCCAACTTATTGTTTGGAGCACTCTCCTAATCCCAGGAGAGAGGGGGACTAGATCTGACCAAGGCAGATAAGAGCTGAATAGTAATTTTTACTATGATGATGCAGAATGAAAGCCAACAAATGCCCATCAACCACTATAGTGGTATACTTCACATTATGGCTTTGCAACAAATATAAAACATTACAATCTTCATCTCACCTTCATAAGGGGTCATCTCGGGTCCTCGAACCACATAGTGCCTGAAAAAATAAATAGAAATATTGAAACCAAGGGCTTACTTTTGTCAATTCTTTATCTTATACATTTGTTGTTCTAGTACAGTTAAGATGTTTAATGGAATTTTCTGTTATAGAGTAATGTGAACATAACAATATAGACTCTTCAACCTAACCATCTTTTGCCTTAACACAATGGATACAGTCTTCCACTCACTCTGATGGGAATACATTAGACCTTGTATTCTCCCATCTTTGCACTCCCTACAACCTCACAAACACCCCCTTTCCTCTCTGAAGACGAGGACTCTGTGAAGGTGATGAGATTGTGATCAAAACACTTTTCCCTCCAAGCAGCACTTACCCGCAGAAACCTTCACAACTTAAATCCTTCTCTTTTCCACTTTGCAACTGACCGCCTCTATGACAGAATCTCTCCCCTGTCCTGCCCTGACCTGGCCACTGCTGTCTACAACAGTTTGCTTTCATCCACATTAGACTCACTTGCTCCTCTAACTACACGAAGTATCATGTCCGACTATTACAACCAGGGCAGACTGACCACACTAGAAATCTTAAGCGACAGTCATGCGCTGGAGCGATTGTGGCGTAAAACCAAACCTCAGTAAGCATTCACCCTATAAAAATCTGCTTTCTTAACATACAAACTCCTCCCTCCATGCTGCTAAACAAGCTTACTTTGTCACTCTTATGAATACCTCGTCATCCTGCCCTTGTCATCTCTTCTCTACTTTCTCCACCCAGTAACTCACTCACTGCATCAATTGTTTTGAAATGATTTACAATCTCGTAAGCAATTCGTAGGGTCATCTCCACTACACAGACATCTATCCCACTTAGCATACCTTGTACTAAACCTCCCTCAACACTTGCCTCTTTTGACCTTGCTACTACTGAAGAGATCACTAAAGTTTCCTCAGAAGCCCGCCTCACCACATGCCCCCTGGATCCTGTCCCCTCTTAACTACTACAGTCACCCTCTTCTTCTGTCCTATGCTCCCTCACATCTTCAATCTCTCCCTCTCCAATGGTGCTTTCCCCTTCCCTCTAAAGCATGCACAGATCACTCCCGTACTTAAGTTGTTCAGGTTGGTGGGTCCAGGGAGAGCTTTTTAAGACCCATCTCCCTGCTCCCGTTAACCTCTAAACTCTTAGAACGCTTAGTCTACAATTGCCTGAGCTCCTACTTTGCTGACAACCTTCACCCTTTACAGTCTGGCTTTTGCTCGCTACACTCCACTGAAACTGCCCTACTAAAACTCACTAATGATTTACTAACTGCTAAAACCAATGGCCACTACTCCATACGTTTACTACTTGACCTCTCTGCAGCTTTTGATACTGTTGACCATCCCCTCCTCCTCAAAAAAAAAACTCCACTCTTGGCCTCCAAGACTCTGCTCTCTCCTGGTTCTCCTCCTACCTATTGCAGGGCTCCTTCAGCGTTACCTATAACTCTGTCTCCTCCTCTCCACTTCCTCTTTCTGAAGGTGTCCCTCAAGGTTCTGTGCTTGGACCCCTTCTCTTCTCCATCTACATCTCCTCTCTTGGTCACTTGATAAACTCCCATGGCTTAAAGTACCATCTCTATGCTGATGACACACAAATCCATCTTTCTACCCCTCACTTTGCCCCTTCAGTCTGCTCTCGCATTACTAACCTACTAAGTGACATATCAGCAAGGATGTCACTCCACTTCCTCAAACTCAATCTTTTCAATACTATTCCCTCCAGCCCGTGCCCCTCCTGACTTCTCCATCAAGATCAATACAACCATCAGTCCCTCCCCTCATGCCAAGGTACTAGGTGTAATCCCTAGACTCCCATCTGTCCTTACAGCCCCAAATCCAATCACTGTCCAAATCTTGTAGACTTCACCTCCACAACACCTCCAAGATATGCCCATTCTTAACCTTCAAAACCACTAAGCAATTTACTCACTCCCTGGTTATTCCTCGCCTTGGACTACTGTAACTTTTCTCATTGGCCTACCTAATCTCAGGCTATCCCCTCTTCAGTCTATCATGAATGCTGCTGCCAAACTCATCCACCTTACTAACCGTTCCATATCTGCCATCCCTCTCTGCCAATCCCTCCACTGGCTTCCCATTGCCCAACGAATAAAATTCAAAAAACATTAACAATAACATATAAAGCCATTTATAACTCTGCCCCAAATTACATCACCAATCTGGTCTCCAAATATCACCCAAACCGTCCTCTACACTCCTAGCACGACCTTCTGCTCTCTAGCTCCCTTGTCTCCTCCTCCCATTCTAGTCTCCAGGACATCTCCAGAGCCTCCCCCATCCTCTGGAACGCTCTACCCCAATCTATCAGAATGTTGCCTACTCTGCCCATTTTTAGGCGATCTCTGAAAACCTCTCTTCAGGGAAGCCTATCCCGCCTTCAGCTAATAACGGATATTACCTTTTGTACCACCAGCCCCTCCTTCTAAGATTGTAAGTTACAAGGAGCAGGGCCCTCTTGTATTGAACTGTATCGTTGCTGTATTGTATCCCTTTATATTGTAAAGCACTGATCAAACTGTTGGCGCTATATAAATCAATAATAATAATAGATACAGTGCCTTGAAAAAGTATTCATACCCCATGAAATTTTCCACATTGTCATGTTTTTAATGTACAGCACGGAGCAAACCGTTGGCGCTATATAAAATACTGTATTATAATAATAATAATAATAATAATGTTACAACCAAAAACGTAAATGGATTTTAGGTGATAGTCCAACACAAAGTGGCACATAATTGTGAAGTGGAAGGAAAATGATAAATGGTTTTCAGATATTTGTTTGTAAACATTTTTTATAAAAGTGTATTCAGCCCCCCGGAGTCAATACTTTTTAGAACCACCTTTCACTGCAATTACAGCTGCAAGTCTTTTTTTGGGATGTCTCTACCAGCTTTGCACATCTGGAGAGTGAAATCTTTGCCCATTCTTCTTTGCAAAATAGCTCAAGCTCTGTTAGATTGGATGGAGAGTGTCTGTACAGCAATTTTCAAGTCTTGCCACAGATTCTCAAATTGATTTAGGTCTGGACTTTGACTGGGCAATTCTAAAAACACATTTTCAAGGCACTGTACAGAACTTCTATTTTCAGACCATCATCCTATTGTACCTGGATTTTGTGTACATATTCTCCTTGACTGAAACTGTGCTTGTTCTCATGTATGTTTGCACACCTTTGAATAAACATTTATTAACACTGAAAAACGACAAGTCATAGTTAAAACACCACTAATATCCCATATGGAAGAAAAATATATTTGAAATATATTTTAAAAATATTCTTCACAAATATATTGACATATTTGAAATGCTACAATGGATATATATATATATATATATATATATATATATATATATATATACACACACACACACACACACACACACACACACAATGTTGAACTGAGTTTTTAATACAAAATATATGAAAAATATTTTTACAAATACATTTCAAATATACTGTATAATCTACATTTTTGGAATGCATTTACAAATATACGTTAAAACAAACAAATCTGAAGAACATATTTAAAAACAATTTTTTTTTTTTTTTTAAATAATTTTGTAATTTATAAAATCTCTCATATATATATATATATATATATATATATATATATATATATATTTTTTTTTTTTTTAATTTAGAAATATATTGAATATGGCCAAAATTGTAGCATTTCAAATATATGTCAATATATTTGTAAATAATATTTTTAAAGTGCATTTCAAATATATTTTTCTTCCATGTGGGATAAAACTAACAAAAAATTGAGAAAAAGCTGCAGATAACATTCAAAACTATATATAAGCACTAAAAAATTAAGGGGAAGTCACAAAAGAACGCAGACTGCAGTAAAAACCTGACAGGAGGTACAAAGTAATGGATTTGCAGACAAGCACAGCCACTTGCAGGCACCAAGATCTGCACTTTAACAGTGATTTGGTTATAAATCTCTTTGTAAAAAAAAGAGGAGGATTGAGCAATTTGAAACCTGAACCTCCTAGTCAGCAAGAATCACATGACCAAACATCATGGCTCCTGGATTTGTGAGTAGCACAAAAGAAAGCAAAGAAAAGAAAACACAACCAAATACAGAAGTAATCAGACAGAAGAATAAAATACCTGTAACCAGCTGACCAGACAAGAAGCTGCCACGCAATAAATAGAGCGGTCAGACAAGCCAACAGCCACAACTGTTTGTGCCAGGTAAACAAACCTTACACACATGGCCTTTGGGATTGTTTGTGCCACGTGTGAGTATATGTGTATGCAACTGTCTCTGGCCTTCATACAGCCAGAAGACAACTGACACGCTGCATAACAAACCACTCTGTGTGATGTAATCCAGCAGGCCCTCTTCTGCCATGTTAATGCACAACATTTAACCACTTCATTACCTGGCATCTTTAAAGCTCAATTCCAGAACATTTTTTTTTTGGGTGCTAGTCACATAAGTTCCCTCTAATGAAGTTTTATTCTATGTTCTGCTGATTACTTTAACCTCCCTAGCGGTCTGATTATGTCAGTATTTCTGTGCTCAAAGCAGTACAGTTTTTTGCATGGAAATATATCTTTTTTTATTGTAGGCCTGTAATTTTTAGGAATAACTCACTGAAATCTGTCCGAACAAGAGTCTAGTAAACATCCCGGGTATGATAAAATTTGAAACATGAAATCATAAATTATAATAAAAAAAAATATAATAATAAATTTAATTCAATAATATAATCAAACCAAAAACACTGAAATTTTAAATAGAGCACCAAGTTCGCACATCACTCAGCTCAGTCGCAAAATCGTTTTCAGTGTCTGATGAGGAATTTCCCCACGAATCATCACTCAATTCTGCAAGTAGTACTAAATTACTAGTTCTCTAGCTGGTCTAAAACCGCTTTTGAACTAAAGGGATGCTTTTTGGAAGCCATGGACGTTTCTCAGTTTCCAGGCAGAAAGAACAGTAAATATGCAGGCAGGGCACAGGACAAAGCACTCGGGACAAAATGTAGGTGAAATTCTTTGATACAGTAATGTTTTACTATGTGATTTTAGTGTATTTAGTGAATGTCACTTTTTCACATTTTTACATTTCCCCACTGTTCCGTCCCTGTACTTCCTGACGTTGCAGGGAACGGAACCTGGAAGACAGATGCCGGCATCCGCCGGAGGACATTGCCGGGGACACTGCAGGGGGGACATCGTGGGAGCGCAGGACAAGGTAAAAGAAGAGATCCTGGAGCAGCGCTGCAAGGTATTCCCGAGTGTAGCTCGGGGTTAACGCTTGTGGTGCTGAAAGTTTACCCTGAGCTACTCTCGGCAATACCTCCAGGGAGGTTAAAAATGTTTCCTTCAGTGATGCCAGATACTCCTCACAGTGATTTTCTGGTGCAGTTGGATTTAAGAGCAGTGGTTGTAACTGTGAAAGACTCACACAATTCATCCTCCCCTGCCTGTCCCCTTGTCTATTCAAAAACATCCTAGTATTCTCCCAGACTGCACAGTGTTCTGTGAATGGAGGCCTGAATGAATAACAATCTCCCCTGTCCAGTCATTGACTCTATGACAGACTGCCATTCAGAAACTGTGGAGCTCTACAACAGACTGCACATGGGAACACTTGGCTTCTAAGTAGTAATCAAGGTAGAAAACACCCCATTACCTGTCCCTCAACACTTTCCTAGCTCCTGTCACCACTTCTCATGCTGTCTCTGCCTCCAGCCCCGCGCCCCACATTCCTGGTTTCACAGGACAAACTGAGGGAAGCCATAGGCTCCTGCAGCCATCAAACTCCTGCGAGGAGGGAGTGGGGTTGTGGCTTAATAGCACTGTGTGTGTCTATGAAAACACACAGCCCAGCACAGAAGCACACAAGCATGGGTGCCTCCTTAGCATCCGGCTTGCTAACGGGGGCACCTCCAGGAGGGAGGAGTGGGCAGTGTTGCTGGGGGATTGCCAAAAGAGGAGGTAAGGGACCTTTCTGTACAATATCGTTGCACAGCGCAAGTATTACCTCTTTTAATTTAAAAAATAAATATATTTTATCAAGAAAAAAAAAAAAAATTAACAAAATCAGTGATGTTTGTCAGAGAAGATTGTTCTCAGATGTTATTTTACAAGCACAAATCTCATATTTTAAAGCTCAGCTTCATGCAAACAAATCTAAATTTCAACTGTGCATTGTAAATCAAGCATCTTTGTTATCTGTAGTTTTTCACAAACACCTCTATAAAACATACAGTAGTATACTCTTTGAAACGTATGATCTGAAACCCTTATTTCCTGCCTCGGGGCCAGCGACTTTTTTTTGTTAGCTTCAAGGGTACCAGTCCCCTTACTGCCCCCAAAGCCAACATAAATAAACCAGAATGAATCAGGTGTGGTAGTTTTTATTCTAATGCCGCAAACAGGATACAATGGGCAGAAACATGGGACATGTAGTCCTAGAAACAATGCAGGAAATTTTGTCGCTGCACAGACCCTCCTCCTGGCATCCATGGATAGCTGAGAAACTGCTGGTTAGAGGACATCACAGGTACTAATATTTCTCATTTAAGATGTGGCGAAGTCAATTATTTGATTGGATTGATTGGATATGTGTATAGGCAGAAGTACATAAGCAGAGAAGAAGGCAGTTATCCCAGAATTGGCATTTAAGGCAGTTCACTGTATCTGAGAGACTTCTCCCACCTGATTACTTAGCATTACAAAGTGACAACACATCCTCTGGGCTTAGAGGCACCCAGCCTCTAAAACTGCCATGTTTGCCTGCACTTGGCATTCAATGCACAAAAGAGAAAAAAAAAAAAACAACCAACCACAACCTCTGCTTTAAAGTAGAACCAAAACTTTTTTTTTTGGATGGAGAATGAAAAAAAGAGTTAGAATCTGTTTTTCACGGTTATGTGAGGAGATTTTACCTTACTTCCTGACAAATCAAAAAGGGCAGAAATCTCTCTAATGGCATAACAGAAAGCTAAGGCTGGCCATACACTATACAATTTTCTGTCCAATTGCCTTTACATTTACCTTCAACCTGTGGTGCAAGAGCCTGCCTAACTGGATAAAACAGAAAGTGTTGTTAGGTTTGACCTCCTATTATATGATTTTTGGTAAATCTAAACCAAAAATCTCAAGAAAATTGTATAATGTATGGCCAGCCTTTGTGAAGTCTAAAACCTGTATCCCCTGGGGGAGAGTTTCCCTAATTTTCTGCCCTGATGACAAGATGTGAGTGGAAAGGACACAGAGATAAAAACACATTTAACTCTATAAAGAAAAAAAAGGAGCACTAGATGAAGTTCCACTTTAAGGCCTAGAAAGAGGTCATTCACTTCTGTGAAGATACTATAGATACATAGGATACAATCATTGCATGCTATACAAAAACTAAGCAGCAAGTAATGCAGCTGTCCTCATAAAAAAAAAAAAAAAAAAAAGTAAAAAATGCAGCAAAATGGCATTTTTGAGCCAATTTTTTTAACGCTAAAAACCGCTAACGCAGAAAAACACGGCTGAATGAGGCAAGACGAGGCTAAATGCTAATGCACAAAAACTTGTGTTTTTAGTATGACTTTATACAGCTAACACTACACAATCACTGTGTGCTATCCAAACACTAAGCAGCAAGTAATACATCTGTCCTCATAAAATAATGGAATGATTACCACTTGTATGAGCCAATAACACTAGCAGCCCCACTTGTATTATTTATGTAGTGAAGGAGCCAACAAGAGAAACATTATACTTATTCATTAATGACAATACCTGCAAACACAAAGGCAGAACATAATCATATGTCAACATTATGTTGGCTCAACAATACTTAAAACTTTTGAAGGCCAATATATTAGTCTCCCGTAACCTTGTGTGTCAGACATTCCAGGATACAGATGTCGCTGCTGACCAGAAAGGTGAAGTAAGAAGTGGGTAACATGCCCTTTAGAAGTATACAAAAGGCAAGTGTTTTCTGCAGCGTTTTGCAGAAACGCACTACAGTCCATTTAAAATGATTTCCTATAGAACACGTTCACATCTCCGCGTTTTCACCCGGTACATTTTTTGGAAAAGGTCAGGGACTTTATTAAAAAAAAAAAAAAAAAAAAAAAAAAAAAAAAAACAACGAGTTGCATTTTTGGTTCTATAGATTTCAATGGAAACTGCAGAAAAGCATGTAGTACGTTTTTTTTTGCAGTGTTTTGCGGTTTAAATCTGCCTAGCAACAAGAAAAAAAAGACCACACACAAAAACGCATCAAAACGCACACTGCATAGGTATGAACCTAGCCTTATGTTAATGAAAGTGGTGTATGTGTGCTGACTTAGGCCTGTGTGTGCCCAAACATATCCAAGTCACTCAAAATAGTTGGCACCTGACAGGAATTCCAAATATATAAATCCTTTATTAATACATAGGGTTAAAATCCATATTGACACCTCTACTTACACGTTTCAGCTTGCACAGCCTTAAATCATAGCTAGAGAGCAGATTTTTTGATATGCTGAGAATAAATATTTTGCAAATCAGTCCCTGCTTATGGAGCTGCAGAGGTATACATGAATAAAGGACATGCAGCCACAGACTTCTATGAACATGGCATATTCAGTAAAGGGGCAAAGAAAGGATCTAAGATAAGCATTTCTATGGGGCTTTTAAACTCATTTTAAATGGACACTTTTCATTAAAAAAAAAAAAAAAAAAAAAAAAAAAAAAAAAACACACTATCTGCTGACAGCACCTAGTAATTTCTCTCTTTTTGGCAAGCAACACTACATGTGCCTGGCCTCCTGACAAAAGCAGTACCTAGAAAGAGGTCTTGTGGCCAGTACTGTAACAGGTCTCTAGTGTTCCAACAATTAAAAAAGGGGTAAAAACAGTCAGTAAAGGAAGTCTAGAAAAGCAAACAAGCAAAGGCAAGCACAGGGGGTCTGGCAGAGGAGACAAAAGTCAAAAGCAAAGTAGTCACAGGACATTGAGAAAGACAGAGAGATTCCAACAAATCATGTCTCCAGCATGATGAGACACCGTGACCCTCTGAGCGTTTGTCCAGCACAGTGGTCAGGGTCAGGAACATCCACCCATTCCTAAAAGTTCAGCAAGTTGAGGTTCTCACAATACCAGACTATTAGCAGCAAGGTGGTTTATGGAAGGAGGGTGACCTGGTGCACAATAGCAATACCTATGTAAGAAAAAGCACTAGGGATATAGGCTTTTTCGGCTGTATACATTTTTCTTTATTTTTAGTTTGGATTAGGGACGTACCTTTACCCAATAGCAAAAACAGCCAAACTAGGTTGTAAATGTCAACCATCTTGTAAAACTCACCATTCCAAAATATTTGAAGGGAGGGGTTCGGCACAGATATAAGGCACTGGGTCTTTTTTGATGCGCAGGTAGTCTTGCTTTAACCGTTGTGTTGCAGTTGTTGGTGCTCTTTTATTACTGTTGCTGCTCATCTGTTAAAAAAAAAAAAAAAAAAAAAAGTCATTAAAAGTATACTTGAAAATATTTAAAGTAAATCATATGGTAACACAACAAATAGTTTGCTTTGTACCATAATTGCATTTTTTCTTTTTTTATGCCATTTTATTTTGCGTTCTGTGACTGCAATTTATTCTTTATTGTACTACTTCCTGACTGCGGTTACCTTTCCAATGACCTCTAATGGTTAGTGTCCTATGCCTGCAGTGCTGCTGGATACTGTACAAATGACAGTTTTATTTACGCCAGATATCACAGTCATTGTTCTTTTTCCAGAATCGTGGCTAAGAGTTATGGCTATACTACAGTAAAGGATCACTTCTCCCCTTTATACTCCCCCCTATCCATTCACAAAATGTGCATATTCTTTTTACTAACTACCCGGTGTTGTGAATGAACATGAAGTGATCCTGTCGCTTACCTGTCCCTTCTTTCTCTTTATCCATTCACAATTAGCTTGTATTCTGTAAAAAGAATAAGGCTTTTGTGAATGGCTGAGGGAAGAGTGAAAAACGCAGTCCCCATATTGTACTATACTCGAACTCTCTGAAAGTGAAGAGCTGTGTGTAATATCTGGTGTGAATGAAACTGTCCTTTGTACAGTAACCAGCAGTTCTCGGGGCATAGGATACTAATCATTAGCACCCTGGGCATTTGTCCAGCTGCTGTTTTTGGCTTCTGGTGTTTTTCTGCTACAACCAGTAAACTCCCCAGCATGTTATGTGTCCATGCACACATAGGCTTTAATCAGCATTTTTTGGCAGGGCCGTGTTCTGGCTGGAAAAAAAACAAACACAAAAACAAAAAACACAGAACTAGTGGGTGTCAAGATGAGTTTAATTTGCTGTAAAAACGCTCTAATTGTGGTAAACGCAGTAAAACGTGGCAAAACAGTATTTTTGAGCCAAAATATGTGTGTGCGCAAAAAAAGCCAACATGGAAAAACAGCTAAACGCTAATGCAAAAAATGCAGAAAAACGTGCGTTTTTTTAATGTGACTTTATACAGCTAACGCTACCAGCGCTTTTCAGAATGCCCAGTGTGCATGAGGCCTTAGCTGAAACTTGTGCTGGTCCCAGAAAAGCATTTGATTTTTCCCCAAGTTTCACTTTAAGAAGAAAAAAAAATCTGCTTTGTGCTTTTTTTTTTTGGTCACTTGTAGGACAACTGGTCCTACCCATACAAATCTCATCTCACTTTATGTTCCCGCTTTTTAAAATGTGGAATATACACTAGTTTTTAAAAAAAATAAGCCATGTAGAATTTACATCATTACTCTTTTTTGTGATATTATTTTGCATTCTATTGATATGCTAATACCATCGCAGATGCTAAATTCAAATTTCACAGTAGTGACAAAAGCAGAATAAAGTGCAGGAAAAAGAGTAAACAGAAAGAAAAATGCTAAAACCAACTAAAAGGATCCAACAAGCATGTGAGATAATACATCACAAACGGTTGTGAAACTGGATCAAAAGTCAGGCCATCCCTAGACTGCAGCTGTGTACAGATTTGTCATTCACTATTTGTCTGACAAACGCACAATAAAGAGCTCAGATTTCTTTGGAAATTTTTGAACATTTGGGGAACGAATGTAAAAACCATGTACTTCCTTAAACTAGTTCTGTATTCCATTTTTCATTTTAAAGTAAACAAGTTAGGGAAGTACAGAAAAAAGGCAAACAGGTTAGGGAAGTACCGAAGCTGCCATTGCTGACCTTTCCCTTAAAACGCTTAAACGCCTGGCTACAACGTTGACTGAATGGCTTTCATTTTTTCTGAAACACAATGCTTATTTTGAGTCAGTGTTTCAAACAGTATGCAAGCCAGATACAGTCAGGCAACTAGCATTTTCAGGAGGGCAGTAATGACAGCTCCTCCACCTATTTGTTTCACTACAAATTTTCTTTAAGCCCCCGGACACATCAAAGCAGAATTTGAAATTGTGCGACTTACAGCGAAGTCGCACAATTTCAAAATCGGGTGACCTGCTGATATCAGTTGCGATTTGCAAGACATCTGACACAGATGTCTATGCAAATCGCAACAAAAGTAGTGCATGTACTACTTTAGAAATCGGTGTGGCTCCAACCAAGTTGGAACCGCACTGATATGACCGCTCTCATGTCGGACAATAGGGTGCGACTTGGCATACGATTTGAAAATCACATGCCAAGTCGCACCCGATGTGACTGGGGGGGTAAAATGCCATATCTAAGAACTGATACCAGAAGTAGCCTGCTTTTGCCAGCCAGAAGACTCTTTTGTGCCCCTCTCTGATTTAGTTTCACTTTGTAAAAAGTGGAGGATTATCTGGCTAATAAAGATAATAGCAAGCACTTTGTGGTGTCTGCTCTCTGGAGCATCTGTTTCTTAAGAAGTGTAAGGGCTCGATCACATTTGAGACGGTTTTCTATGTGACCTGTTCATACCACAACACTGCAATTTCCCGCAGTACACTATTGCACCACGCTGCTGTACAGAGACATAACTGAAGGGTCATTGTGTGCACTTCAAAGTTTTTGAATAAAATGAAATAAAAAGCAATGGGATGAAACACGCATCACACTGTTCCCCCACCGCACCTGACTGCATGGAAATACCGATAGCTGCCCACACACTAAAAGAATTTGCATGCGGGCAGTGTGAACAACCTCCCAAAACTAAGTATAGGTTTACTTTAGGGATGCGCCGAAACATTTCAGTCGAAAACACCCCTTTCGGTCGTCAGGCAAAATGGAAAAAAAGCACCGATACAGGTGCAGTAAAAACCCTGCCCCTCGCTGCCGCCTGCCGTCCCTCGCTGCTGCCACCAGCCGCCGCTCGGTAGTTCTCAGCCTTATCTGAGAAAACCATCGAATGATCCCAGCGCTGGGCATAAAGATGAGTGAAGGAAAGATGGCCTCCACTCATCTCTATGCCCTTGGAGAACCAGAAAGACGCCACTTACGGTTACAGCCATTTTTTTTTTAAAGCACTAGATCAATGCTTTACATTGCAGAGGAGAGATGTGGAGTCTTACTGACCCCACATCTCTCCATAAAGAGGACCTGTTACTAATTATTTCTTGCATGCATTTCTTGTGATAAGAATAAAAGTGATTCATTTTTTTTTTAAAGGGACAGTGCAAAAAAACCCCAAAACATTAAAAAAAAAAAAAAAAAGTTTAAAGTACCCCTGTCCTTGCACGTAGTGGTGAACACATACGTAGGCCATGCCCACATATGTAAATGGTGTTCAAACCATACACGTGAGGTATCACCGCGAACGTCAGAGCAAGAGCAATAATTCTCGCACTAGACATCCTCTGCTAACCTGTAGAAATGTTTAAAGCATCACTCATGGAGATTTTTAAGTACCGCAGTTTCATGCCATTCCATGAGCGTGCGCAATTTTAAAGCGTGACATGTTGGGTATCTACTTACTTGCCGTAACATCTGCTTTCATATTTTACAAAAAAATTGGGGTATATATTTTTTTTTTGTTTTTTTAATCAAAGTGTATTTCTTTCCAAATAAATATATATTCATTTTTAAAAACTGCACATTTCAGTTTCGGTTTTCGGCCAAGTGCATTTTGAATTTTCGGTTTCGGCACCAGAATTTTCATTTCAGTGCACCACTAGTTTACTTTAAGGCCCAACTCCAGCCAAAATTTTTGCTGGTTTTAGGTAGACTGGAGGAGGTAGACTTCCTGTCAGGTATTTATTGTGCTCTGTGGCCACAGGAGAGGAATTGCTGGAGATCCTCTCCACTAAGTGCAACTTTTTTTATATTCATTTTTACAGCAAGGACAATGAAGGCCTCACTCACATGACTGATATCTTCAAGGGGAGACGTGACCATCAATAGACTGTAATCAGCAGCAGTGGCAAAGGATGACTTAAGGCAAGGACATTCTGCGCCTGCACTCCCGCCACTGCCTACACATTGCTGATGTTTACGTCGGCCCTGAATACACACAGCAGTGTCCCATAGGGCCCATTTAGGCTGTTTAAATATAAAAGATATCGTAAACGTTTACATACCCACAGCATAAAAATAGAGACAAAAATCGGATGGCAAACACAAATTTTCTAGTTTTGTTTTGCACAGCTAAATGCTAAATTATGGATCAGAATGCAGTTTATTGTATGTCCATGTGAATGCCTCCTAAAAGCAAATGAAAGCATCATATGAAAATAATAAACTAAATGATCCCAAAATCTAAAAATATCAGTCTGTGTGCCTTAAAGGATAAGTTCACCTTTGTGACAAAAATAATAAATGCACTTTTTTTGCAGTTAAAAAAAAAAGTGTGTTTGTTATTTTTGTCTGCAGGAGCCTAGAAAGCATTGCACCAGTGATCAGTACATCGCTGATCCCATGCAGGTCTCCTGCAGGCCGGTCAGAATATCTGCTTGCCATACAGCATGTATTCTGACAGGAAGCTTCAATGAACTACCACGGCACTCCACAGCACTGTGGTAGTTCATTGAAAAGTACAAGCTGACAGCCACTAAGACTGCAGGGACTTGTAGGCACTCATTCACAGAACTCTGTGAATGAGTGACACGGCCCTGTGGACAGAGCATCACACGACCGCGCGGTTTTCAAATCTGACAGACAGTATGGGGAAACTTCTCCCCATATTACCTGTCAGAGGGAGGGGGGCGGCGGGCGTGTCTACAGTAATGGGAACATGTTACATAGTTAGTCTGGCTGAAAAAAGACAAAAGTCATCCAGTTCCATCTAAAATAATTGCATTTCCATTTTCTGTGTACTGTGGGAGATCAGATATAGTGAATGCAGGGTCCTGGGTTTAGTAACACTTCAATATCCACATGGAGTCTATAGGTTCTCACAGTGTCTGCATGGGCTTCCACTGGGAGGGGGGCTCAGTATCCTCCCAAAATCCAAACACGTAGGAAAGCTGGCTTCCTCCTAAAACACTGGCTCTACAGTGTGTAGGACCGCAGTAAAGACATTAGACTGT